AATATATATATATATATATATATATATATATATATATATAATATCAATAACATCGCATGTGACACAACATTATATAATAATTTCCAATCTAAAACTTTTTGTGAACTTTTTGTTAACTTTTAGTTAACTTTTTGAATGATAACATCAATATTAGTCTTCAGCTTAAAAATCCCCGTTGTTTGGATAACTGTATCGCTGATATCATAATCGTAATACTCTCCAATGTGAAATCACAAGTCCTTGAACAATGTTACCGTAATCCAAACGTTCTCCAATTTGAAATCTCAGATTCTCAGACAGATAGTAACAGACAATATCATATTCTCCAGTCTAAAATCTACCATTTAAATTCTCTATATCAATGATAATTTAATTTGATTTTGATCGCGATGTTCCCAGCGCTCTCCTAAAAAAAAAAGACTCAGTTTTTTTAACGGTGAGATAACAATGGAGAATCGTTGAAGTCTCCAATGTTCTTCAATTAGGAGTCTTCAATTCAGAGACAGTGGCACCGGCACATCGGTGGCGGCCCCCTCCCCCCCCCCGACGTCCCGCAACCGGTTGGAGGAACGACACACACAGACGCTCGGACATCCGGGAGCGCGGAGCGGCGGCTGCGCGATCAATTGTTGTGCGAGTGCGGCTCGCGTTGTTGGCATTTAGCCGAGCGCGGCTCGCTGCCGCGCGGCCACACTGTATTAATTTGGTACAGTGCGTTGCGCGCTGCGGGATAAGCGAGCGCGGAAAAGAAGTTGCGCAAGTAAGCGAGCAAGCGAGCAAGCGAGCAAGCGTTGCTCATACCACTCGGCGTCGTACACGCGCGCCGTCCTCTCCTCGCTCTCTCTCCTCTTCCCTCTCTGTCTCCTTCAGTCTCTCCTCCCGCTTCGATCTCGCGAACTCCGTGCCTCGCTAGAGCGAATTTATACACGGCTACGATGCGTTCCCACGCCATAGAGCATGCGAGAGAGTCCTGCTCCTCTCGAGCTGTACTCCCCGCAAACGATCCCGCATTACCGATGTGCCGAGGTAAACGGTCGCGCAAGAAAACTCGGGGAAAATCTAGGTCATCCCCTGCGACGCCATTGTATATTCGTTTTATCGGTATTAATGGGCGAACGATGCGACGTGGAAACGTATGTATCTGTCTCCGAGCGACGACGAGAGTGAGAAACCAAGAACACATTTCGATTGGTATCTTGAATAGTCAAATTAAACCTGACTAATTAAATCTCGCACACAAATATCGCATTTATTAGATCGAGAAGAAATATTCTGAATTCGATGAATAAAAATTATAAATACTCTCTCACAACTTTGTATGCAAGTGTTATAATCTACGTGATCATCTACGTCTCCCAATGATTCAATATTTGTTAAAATCATAATCTAAAGTAAGCTTCAAAAATTTAAGAATATTGTCAGGCTGAGAATTTCCGGAGCCCGGGAAATGTAGGTCCCAAGAGCGACGAGGAGCCACAATGCAATTGTTCCCCGCAGCGATCTTTTTTTTTTCCCCTCCCGATTGCGTCTTGTGCAACGCGATCTAGTTTCGATCTCTCGCGCGAGATCGGTGTACAGTAGGAAACGAATCGGCGGGCATCACGTTTGAGCAACTCGTCGCCCGAAGGAAATCGGATCGTGAAGTTCGACGATCTCGCAACGGTCCCAAAGAAACAGACGAGAAGGGGGACTAAAGGGAATGGAGGCCCGGGCCCTCGCGATCCACGCGCGGAAGATCGATCGAAGGGGCTAATGAGGCCCGGCCGATCACGACGATTTCGCCAATTCTACGAATTCCCGATCGCCAACTACATCCGATCGCTTTTCTTCCTTGATCTTTGCCAATTGTTTCCTAATTTTTTTATTTGCTTCCCTTTATTATTAGACAATTGGACAATTTTTCGTGACTTCACGCTGATTTCATAAATTATGCGCGAGCATAATCTTTATCTTATTTGAAAATCTAAATTTAAATAATAAAAATGTGATATGAAACATTAAAATTCAACATTAAATATTGTAAATATTTAAATCTGTAAAGATGCAAAATATAAATCTGTTATTTTAAGATAATTTTCATTCAATTTTTTATTCAGGTCCAAGAGGAAATTCTTTTCAGAACAAGTTTCGAGCGAATTAAGTCACGTTTGCGAGGTTGTTGCGTGTAACGCGAAGCACCCTGCTATTTCCCGGTAAAAGAGGTCAAGGATCTTCTCATGCTGGGAACTCGATACCCGGTACCCGGTTGAATCGATCGAATTTCGGACGCGAGAGAAAAAGAAAGAACAAACGCGGATCAATCTTCGTATGAACAAAGCGAGGAAAAAAACGCAATGGCGCTTCGCGTTCCTTCTCGTCATTGCCTTTATCTCTGTCCGATCATCCTTTTATTTTCTACGTGTGCGATTCCTCGTACCATACAGCCAAGAATTGATAAAATTTTACGAGCGCCTTTATACGTTGTAATAATATATCTGCGGCCGTGTTTTATCGCTTCATTTGGCCGATATAATTTCCCAACATACATCACGTGTCTTCCTTTTTCTCTCTCCGTTTTCAGGACGGATGATTCATTCTGTGAATTCTGCAATTCGTGGTTTCGCAATCTTACGTCTTTATCTCAAAATTTCCAAAGGATCCATAAAATTTTAGAGAAGAATATTCGCAATGCAGTCTCGTGAAATGCCTTAAATCCGTGTCACAATTAACACGGCTTTAAGCCTATTAACTTTCAATGCGCGTTGTGTTTTTTATTGGATTCCAAAAATTTTAATTTTATAGGACACCGGTTTTGTGCACAGCACGACACGTAATAGGAGACTGAAAACAACCGTCTCGATTTTCAAATAGAATCGTAATCGCGTGAACAAGGAATTTCGATTCGCAAAGTTCGTAGTGTAGAACACAAAAGGAAGGCGCATTATCCTCGTTGCGAAAATCATAACGAGAGGCTGCAAGTCCGGCGTTTATGTCGTCCGGCGGTTATGTCGGAGCGAAACGCGAGTGAATATCGGCGAACCGGTTACGAAACCGAGAAAACGGGGCCGAAGCGCGGGGTGCAGCAGAATGACGAAGAATGGAAACGGTGGCGAGGAAGTCGGGGATACTACGATCGTGAAATGATATTGGACAAATGAAGCAATAAAGTTCTTAGCGAGCAAGCGAGCAAGCTTGCAGGCCGCAAAAGTAGCTGGGAAACCGGTGATGCTGTCCGAGAATTATGACGTAACGGTGTGTTTGCCGAGAAACAAACAGGTTCAGTAGGGAAGACACGAAGTAGGTATTAATAGAGTATTTGCTCCGGCCGCGAAGCGAATAAATTGCAAATAAATTGGAGCGCGTTACGTAACAAAACTGCATTCTGACAGAAGAGAAACGGGAAGTTGTTGAGTCGTTGTACACATCACGAAACATTGAATTCTGAAAGTTTCGGTTTTCTATATGAAATGTCTCTCTTACAAGATAGACAAACGTCCTTCGATAATAATTATCAGATATCGCGGTGGTACGGAATATGTGAGGCAAATGTGACAGTATTTCTCTCAGTAAACCTTAAATAGGCATTGATCGAATTTTAATTTAATTATAAGAATGCATAATATTAAAAATTAGAAAGTTGCGATACGTAATAGTTCGCGTCGTTATCGCCCAGGAAAATTGAATTTAAATTGATCTGAAAATTACATTCAAAAAATTAAATTAATTAATAATTAAATCACCTCATTTTGATATATATATATATATATATCATTTATAAACATTTCTATATTTTATATATTGTTATCATTATATATTGTTGTTTCTCTATATATTTTATTTTATATTTTACATGTAGATTTATCTTGCAATAAAGTTGAGAGTTCTTTTTTTTCTTTTAGTTTTTTTCTATTACTATCTAAATTAAGATTAAATCATATGCTTCAAAACGCAGATACACTCGCAGTTGATGTGTTATAAATATATGTGCGAAAATATTTCTGGAGGATTTTATGGCTAGTTTGACTACCTAGCCTTGTCGGAAAGATGGCCTTTTAAATCGACGACAGCTTTCTCTGTCGTCGTACTTCGCACGCAATTAAAAGAACCGATTCAATTAAAAAAAAAAATTATGAAACTGGCCGGCACAATTAAGGGGACAAGACCGCTTAACCCACTTATCGTAAACAATTAGACGCGAGAGAGTCGGGAAGTGGTGGTATTAAAAGTCAAGTGTACCGCGGCGGAATATCAATTCGCCAAATCTGCTGCTCGCAAAAAGGTAACCGGCCAATCAGTGAAACCGCGAAAAGGCTTTAATACTCTTCGCCTGGCAAAACTGGCAAACTTCTTCTCTCCGGTATCTCGAATCTTGTTGCGCGCATAATACAATGTTCCTGCTACTTTAATCGCATTTTTATATGCAATTCCGAGAAATTCCGTTTACGATTAATATTTTGTCTAATTTCCTGATAATGAGCCAGCTTGCACTTAAATTAAT